GTAGTTTAAGGCACGTGACAACCATCTGAAGTCTCAAGCCAGGCTGGTTGACTGTATTCAAGATACAACCTCAGGTTTTCAAGCCCAACTTTTTCAATTTCTCACACATTTTGTAATAAGCAAAAAACAAAACAAAAAGTCGTTAAGTTATTTTAGAAAACATTACAATTTTGTTTGTGAGGCCCTCCAAACTAGGAGACCTTCCCAAACTAGGAGGCCCAAAAACTAAAAGACCCTTGACAAACGGCCTTTTTGTCCCCCCCTCCATTCGTTGCAGGGCCTATCTATATGCATGCACGTACCCATTGTCACAATGATTACTTGCCAAACCAACATCATGTTACCAAAGAACAAAGTATTATGGCTGATGATATATCACAGAAAAAAGATGGAAATTTGAATTTTCGTGAAAAAATATGAACTCCAGGCAAGCCTCACTACACATTAGCGCATGTTTATATCATACAAGAAATTAATTTCCGTTCGTAGCAAGAAAAAATATAATTCGAAACAGAAGAGAGCCAACAAAAATCATATAACACACACACACGCACACATACATCACACACACACACATTAATTACCATTCCACTTGACATTAGAGTAATCGAATACAAATTACATTAAGAAGTATTAAACACCATTCAGATATATTATTTCGTTTTCGATTAATAATCCTAACCTGAAGTTTTGATAACTTTTTTGTTTTTTTTTTTGGCTTTATTTTATAATTTAGGTTTAGAAAATTATGCTTGGCATTTCTGTCAGTTTCTTACACAGAACTGCTAAAATATCATTCTCATGGTTAAATTTTTCTGCCACAAAAACTGTAACATCCATACCAAACGCCCAAGCAACGAATCATGGTGAGTTTCGGATGGGTAGTAGGTAGTAATCGAACCAGATCATCACGCAATAACAGCGCGATATATAGAACTTCTACCGTCAGAGCTAACTCGCCGGGATTACATATTTATATTGAAATTTGAGTAACGTGTATCGGAATAAGTGGGAAATAATAAATGGGCCCAATTTTTTTTTTAATTTTCTTGTTGTATAGCATGTCTGATTGAAGATGACAGCCAAATGTGTGCAACTGCAATAATTATGATGGTGATGGTTCATGATGATGATGATGATATACGTTATGGTGATAATGATGATGGTGTGGTGTTCAAGATAATGATGATGGTGGTGATGATGATGATGGTGATGATGACGACGATAATGATGTACATACATACATAATGGTGGTGATGGTGAATGTGATAATGGTGATGTACGTTGCGGTGATGAAGATGATGACAAACATAAAGATGGTTGGTATATATAAAGTAGCGATGTTTTTTTCAAATGAAAAGTTTTTATTAATTTTCTGGTAGTTTCGTACGTTTTTTAATTACATTTGCTACATTACGAGCGTTAGCACTAAAATTTTAATGTTTTACATCCTGCTGGATGATTTTTTATCATTTTGGCTTTCAAAATTAAAATGAAATTATTTGCATTATTAATATTATGAAGCAACAATCGAAAAATGCGTTTGTTTTTATCATAAAAATTTCATCGTAACGTCATATTATATATCTATAAACACTTCAAAACAAATATTTTTAATAATTTACTTATATTTACATATAATATTTATTTTATTACTTGTATACTTATTAAATAAGTATTAAAATAGACTTAACTCTGCTTAAGATTAATTTAATATATAAAAGTAAATTTGTGAAATTTGACCAAAATCTATCTTAACAACACCTCTTAGAAGAAACAAATTTGCATCCTCATTACGCACGTACAATTTTCAGCCATTATGAGATCTTATTAAAACTCTTTCTGTTGAAAAATAAATTTTTTTATTGCATTTTAAAAATTAATTTAACTTTTTAAAATATTGAAATAAAGAGTGTTTTGTAGATTTAAACAGTAAATCACTTCTTTTTTCTTCTTTCTCGAGCCTCATCTTTTCAGGGCATTGGCGACCATCAACTTCCAAAAAACCCGACCTTTAACACCTTGTAAGAGTTGAAATGGGGTGATATTCAACAAGTGACACAAGGACTTTACAAATGTTATTTGTTTTTGACCGCGATCTCTTCTCCCTGCAATCTTTCTAGTAGTTGTTATATTGTCCATTCCTTCCTTCCACATGATGTGACCAAAAAACTTTAACTGCCCCGTTGGATTATCTGTAATAATTTCCTCTTTTCATAACCGGGCTGTATTAATATGAAGTGCGAGAGTTTCCTGGTCTGGTACATCATCTTTCTCTTCTTCTTCTTCATCATCGTCATCATCATCATCATCATCTTCTTCTTCTTCATCATCTTCTTCTTCATCATCATCCTTATTATCACGTACTTCAAAATTTCGAAATCGAGTGAGCGGCTCACATAATTATAAAGTTTGACAGGATTTTTTTCAACCATTAAAATGCAAAATCACCAACCATATACTGAGATGAGATATGATTGCTACTACATCTGCGGC